AGAAGTTATATCCGGTGAGGGAATTGAAACATAGGTGTGAATGCATAAAATAATAATAATATGAAATGCAATTAAAACTAAAATGTTTGTGATTATAATCGTAGTTGAATGTCATTTGCATTTCATTTGCATGACAATTTTACTTATTATAAATAGAATCAGTGCATTCGTTTTGTATGCCTATATAAAATTATCTTTCATAACTCCATGTTTTGCCAGTCCTTATTTACGCTTTGGTTTTTACGTATGTGAAGGTTGTCTAATATGAGGTCAGAGAAAATGTTAATCCGTCAAAAAGACGCTAATATGGTCCGTCGATATTGTCGTCTGTAAATTGATAAAATGTTTAGTACACTCTTAATTTCTACTTCTTCTGGACTTCCTGAATACGTCGCATTACTATGGGCCGTTATAATATGTAAAGTTGGACCACTATAAGTTAAACCTGTTTAATGGAATAGAGAATTACTGTAGAATTATGAGACTGTACGATAGCCACTCGTATGATTTTTCGTCTGTTGTAGGCAATTGTAATTTATGTGTTTAGATCCAGCAAATCAAGCATTAACAAATATAGATCACATTTACCCTTTAAGATTCTTCTCATTCCCCTCCTATTTCTTTTTTTCAAAAGTACATGCAAGCACGAAACCCTCCTACTTCGTGGTTTATCCTTGTTTAATTTAGATTCTCTCACGAAATATCAGACGTTTTTAATCTGATATTAGGCACATTTATGGCATACTCACCTCCCCGAAAAATTTCAAAACTTTCTCAATTTCAACCCAGGTTCTAAATTTTCCATGTTTAATGTGTTCTTCAAAAAACTTACAAGTATCAACTGTGACCGTACTCCCTTCACCAGATGGACTCGTGGACTGTTGCGTACTGTAAGCATCAAAGCGAAAGATACTGTTGTTTTCAGATTTCTACATATTAAGTAAACATTTGAACCAGTAACAAGGACGGTAGCCAATATGGGAAATCGAAACAACAACTGCCACCCATCAAGTGTCCATGTACATAATCTCCAATACTTCTACATAATAATATTCCAACAACAGATGAGAAATAACTAAAACGCTGCAAAACATTTCATGAAAGCAAAGTATGAAACAGTTACGATGAAACTGATGAACTAACCTGGTGGTGGAAAACTTCTGAACAAACGAAATAATTAATTTTAATGGCAAAGGAAATCAAAAGGATGTAAAATGCAACGTCAATGGACAGTCTACATCGAGAGTATTTGTAAATAACTGCAGAATAGACATAAAAACCAGTATGTGAGAGAACTGTTAGCAAACAGTAACCCAAAATCGCCGACTGATATGGGTGAAAATGACCTTAAAGTGTATTGTCCACCATATGACCTTGGGCTTGGGGAACAATTTCAGTCGCCCTCAGTGCGCCTTAAAAATAAACTTTCGCACTGCACCAGTTTCCTATGTGCGTTATTTGTCGATAGTTTGGTTAATCGCAGTAGTAGCTGGTGTTAACCGGCAAAACGTCTCCTAGATACTTCAGGCAGTATGACTGAGTAAGAGCCCAGTAGCCAGCAGTTGGATTGTCTTTAGTCAAGTGCATTCGCAAGTGACTCCAGGGATTCCCTCTTTTTTGAAGTTTGTGAATGTGTATCGTTGTGTCACATCGACAAAAATCTCCTAAAGGCTAAGTCCGAGTGTTAAACTCAAGATTGCCTCTCTGGTCTTGTCAAGAAGTAGCATCCAGGTAGTTGTGTACGAAATTCTGGTGGTGTAATTCCTAATCGATACAGCCTCTGGATATTCCTGTTGCACTTTTATAGACTGGATGAAGTGCGTAATAATCCAAACAGTTTACTAGGTGGGGCCCTAGTGGAAAGTCATCAGAACTAGACTACATTCTAACTAGTGACCAACTTCTTGTCGAAAAGGTCCAGATCATGACTCCTCTAGGAAGTAGTGACCATGCAGTCATAGGTTTCGACCTCGTTCTCCGTGAGCATTTGCTACGCAACCATGTCTGTGTTATAATAATAATTTATATTTTCATGCTGAAATGCGGAGGCTCTTGTCCGATGCAGACTGGCCCTTAGCATGGGATGAGCTGTCTGTGGATGAACACTGGGAAGCGGTAAAAAAGATTATTCATACAGTAATCTCGGATACCGTCCCTTTAGTCACAACACAGCCCAAAAGAAAGTCATCATGGTTAAAGAGAGGCACGCAGCGTATTCTGCAAGCAAAGCGGAAGGCTTGATTTACGTGGCGCGTATCTAAAAGCCAGATCGACCATGATGCATACCTGGAACTCAGGAACCGGTGCAATGCAAGAGTCAGGAGGGACAGGAGGCCATTCCAGGCTAACCTTGCTAAATACTCCTGGCAAACCCCAAGAATTTGTACCGATTCATGTCGAAAAGGAAACCAACCAACCAAGGGGCTTGCGCCTTAGTAGGCCAAAACGGTCAATATCTCACTAGTCTGGAGATGGCTGAAACATTCAGTTTAGCCTTCGCCAAACAGCTAAACAGCAATGTGGGTATTACCGTTATGGACCAAAATGGTGGCATCACTATTTCACAGGAGGAAGACCAAACAGCCAGCCCCCCAAATAAACCCTGCAATAGTACTGAGAAAGCTGCAGCGGCTCATACCTGGGAAGTCCCCAGGTTGTGACGACATCAGGCCATCTGTTCTGAAACAGTGCGCCGAAGCTCTCTGTAGGCCCTTATGCGACTTGTTCCAACATTCCATGGAATCGGGGAAACTGCCAAAGGAATGGAAAAGAAGCATCCTTTCTCCAATCTTCAAGGGTGGGGATAGGCAAATCCCACCAGTTATAGACCAGTAGCTCTACTCCCAGTGGTATCGAAAGTACTGGAAAGTATTATTGATGATCACATCAGGGAATATCTGGATAGGTCTAAAATACTCCATGAAGCCCAACACGGTTTCAGGAAAGGGAGATCCTGCGTCACTAACTTATTATCAGCTTGGGACGACTGGACATCATGCTGGGATATGAATGTTCCAGTCCATGTGGTCTTTCTAGACTTTGAGAAGGCATTCGACACTGTTCACCATGACCTTCTCCTACACAAAATAAGCCAGGTAGGTTTAGGTAAACCACTTCTGTCATGGTTGGAGGACTACCTAACTGAAAGGCAATTTCGCACCAAGGTCAATCGAGTCCGATCATCTTGGCACAGCTCGTCATCAGGAGTGTCGCAGGGTTCTATCCTGGGACCACTGATGTTCTTGATTTTTATCAATGACTTACCATGCCGTCTAAGCTGCCCGACTCTTCTATACGCTGATGACGTGAAGATATGGAGGGCGATGAAGTGTCCGGAGGACTCAGATAGACTGCAGGCAGATCTAAGGCTTCTGGAAGACCGGGCGGTAGCCAGTGGCATGACTTTCAACCTGAAAAAGTGCAAAGTAGTGAAGTTACGCACCTGTAGACTGCAGAATGCAAGTTACACCCCGTGCAATGAAAGCTTGTCCTGCTCAACGTCGGAACGTGACTTAGGTCTAGTTCTAACGGAGAAAATAGACACAAGCGTAAATTACACGGGGGATGTAGCGAGGGCATATGCGGTCATACACTTTACACATAGACAATTAGGTGCACTCACTCCTGAGCTCTTTCTAAGGTTGCATAAAACATACGTCAGACCGCATCTTGAGGTGCATAATATCACTGCACCCCCACTGCTTAGAAGAGACGCCAACCTTTTGAAAGAGCCCAACGACGGGCAACAAAAGGAGTGGTTGGTCTCCGAAATAAACCATATGATGAAAGGCTGAAGAAATTAGGCATATTCACACTTAGTTACCGTCGTCTTAGGGGGGACTTAATTACTGCCTACAAAATAACAAATGATCAGAATCACCCAAACAAAGGTGTTCTGCCATTGAGTAGGTATAGGCTCCCTCGTGGAAATCCTAGAAGGATAGCTCATCAGAGGGCAAGGACCCGAGTGCGCTTCCACTTCTTTTCCCTGCGGGTTTGCCGTCCCTGGAATTCCTTACCGGCAGATGTAGCTAATGCACCATCTGTGGAGGCCTTTAAGCGAAGGCTGGACAACCATGCAGCGACACAAGGACTTCATCCAAATGGCCTATCCCCTTAAGATCGCATACACCATTCAAAGGTAGACAATTAAACTGGTCGTTTTACTTCTTTACATTCTCTTCCGTCTTACTCTCCTGACAGCTTTAACTACACCTATTATTATTATCATCATTATTACTGGTATATATATACCGGTTGACTGACTGTTGTTACGTTTTCTTATTCTTTTTCTGTCTGTTAGTCTGAATACCTTCACTAATTATATCTATTATTATTATCTCTTTTCTATTGGCGACGATACCGAAGGACCAACTGGTGAAAGGATCAACTCCATTCACAGTAGTAACAGTCTTAACACACCTCATACTACAAACCACATATAATTAATCCCTGCACTACTCCTGTTGGAGTCAACCAAAGCTACGGCAGTCGAGTGGCGGGACGAGCTACGCAGATGTTTACCGAAGATCAGGAACCTCTACCTCACAATCAAGAGGCGAGCACAAAGAAATCAAATTGGTTTATACTAGCTCGTAAAAACGATATTGGATATTGGATTTGACCAGGAAACATTCAGCAAACCAAAAAAAGAACAAAAATTCGAAATATAAATTGTCGTGGATAAGAGCGATGTATGCTCGCCTGACTGGAAATCGTGCACGAACGTGACATGATGATGATGAGAGTGCTTGACCGTATTCATTTAGCTATATGAGAGCAGTACGCTAGTGATTTAGGAAATTACTTGGTGCTACAGCGCACATGTGGCTTTTAAATGGGAAAATACCTACTAGGGAAAATATTTCATGTCATTAACCTTGTCCCTAAAGTTGTGGTGTAATATGTAAAGATTGTCTATGTTGGACATTTGTTACACTTGGAGTACCATTTGACACTCAAGGTTGACTCGCGTCGTTTCAACAGTTCTGTAATTACTAATGTCTAAGGAGCATGGGGGTAGGTTTCGCTGATGATTATACATAATCCAACGCTTTTTCCCATATTCATGTTTCTGAGTGGTGTGTTACATGTTTTATATATCTATATATACATACATGTTCAGTGACATATTTGTCACATTCCTTTTTGAGATTTTCTGCGACCAAAGAGGTTATCGCATAGTTAATTAACTTTTCACTAATTTTAGACAGAAGGGTTTTGCATATACCAACCAGGGGATTTAACCAATCATTGTTTTCGAACGTGAAGCTCAGTGGTTTATTGACGTGATATCATATTTGCGAGAATGGCATTGCCAACTGAGACAAAAATATCAAAATTAAAGAGACATTTGTTTCGAATAAGAGATTTGTACGGTGTTTTGATGAAAAGTGTTTTTCTTAACACTAACGAAAAATGTGGAACCATTCTTCTACATGCTGATAATGAAACCTCAAACTATGCATACGAGAATTATAGTGCATTCCTTTAACTGAAGTGTTTTTGATAATAGTGCTCCGAAGTAGCTTTAGATGTGATTTACATAGCGAGTGCCAAAATGTCTTGGAAATGTTAACCTTTATAAAACTTGTACTCATGATAACTTTTGCTCTGATCAAAAGGAAAGGCATTGGCCGACTGGTATCATGTAGGCGTCTAACAGCAACGTTATCTGCACTTGAATTCAGAAGTGATCATGAATTCAGGGAAAAAAGTTGTCTTGATTTTTATACATGCGGTCAGCAACCCCTTTCCTGCTTAGGACTGGAAGCAAACTGCGTAAGGTTATACCTAGTGTCTCACAAACTCAAAAATTTACAAGTGAAAACGAACATTTTGGTTGTTGAGACAGCAAAACACGACTTTAGCGGACATGCAAATTAGGTAACGAAGACGTCTGACTATTAACAAACGCAAATCACCAGTGAAACACTTAGAAATGTCCTTTATTACATGTCTGACGTAGGCAGGATGGTCTCAGCTACAGATAAGACAGATATCAAAGCCAACTAGAATCAAAAAAGCAAGACAGTCGTTCATCAATATTTTAACAATAATTTCAAGCCGATGCTTCTATATATCTCGATGATTTGGTGCGTCGCCAAGAGCATTTACAACATTGCTACGTGTATTCGTTACCAAAGATAACCAGAAAAGATCAGTAACAAGAAACTCGCAGAAAACCAACTAAGAACTTATTGCTCAACAAATGGATTGGTCTTAAGCTGAGGGGACTGCCGAGTGATGTCGCACACCAGGCCCTTGAACTAGGTGTGACGAGTTGGTTGTCTAAGAGTAACATAGAGGTGTTAAATTGATGAGGAAGTAGAGGCTTGCAGGTAGTCACGGAGCCAGCTAAGAGAAGTGGCAGATAATCGGGTGGAATGGAGGTGTACCGCTGAATTTTCATGTTCCACTCGAAATGCAAGAGACGAATAATGATAAAAATATACGCATGATAATAATCATAACTCGGCACGTGCAAAAAACAACATCGCCTTCATATTATAAATAACTTATAAAAGGTGTAAATTGGGTATTGTAAACAAGTAAATAACTATACGTAAAAATAAGACAAGTTCCAATGAAAATTAAGTTATAAGAGTATTAAGTGCATCAAAGCCAAAGACTACTTGAATTAAAACTTATATTCACAGTAATATAAAAATGGAGGTTGAACTAAGCAGTAATTGTTGAGTTTATGGAAAGAGCAACGAAGAAATTTGCTTGGATATAGTTTTATGGGGTTAAAATCTTATTTTAAAATGTGTTAAATGAGGACATCGCGGAAGTCTTAGAATGTGGTGTAACAGGTTGGGGAGACAGATTGATGACTGAAGTCTTATATATCGAATCAACCGGGAATACGTACAATAGTAATGATTCAACACCTATCCTGGATACTTCGAAATCTTACCACCCTCACGACTAATGAGAAAGAACAAGAAATTTAAAACCCGAGTTTCGATGTTGTGTATTTACAATTGGTGCGATTATCAGCAAATCTAATTCCGAGCGTCACATAATCGATAACACTTTCACTAGGTGATGTGTCATAAAAATATTGGTATGGCATCTCATATTACCGAAGTGTCTAAGTTTTACTCTTTTAATTTTGTATATTTGCTGTTACTGCCATTGTATTACAAACTGCTACACATCCCATCTTGTCCGACTCTAGCAAAGAAATACTATTGTTCTCTCAGTTCGCAACACAATAATGTCAACTCTCGCCGAGTTTCAGTTGCTTGCGTTATAAACTAAATGTTGAGTTCATTTTGGTTAAAACTTAGGCATAAAATACGTCAACTTTTGAATGTATCTTTTGAACTGTTTATCTTTCATTTTCAAACTTTAAGGTGTAACATGTAACGGATGTTCACGTAGAGACTTCAGATTTAGACGATATAAGTGTCTTGTGTGCCGGGATTATGATCTTTGTGGAACATGTTTTGATAATCAGCAAGAAACGGACAAACATTCAAGTTATCATCCAATGCAGTGCTTAATCACTAAAGCTGACCACGATATATTCTACTGTGGAGAGGTAAGTGACATCTTTTGATTTTCCAAAATGCTATCACCATGTAAAAGGATAATTAATTAAATTGGAAAAGAAGAATTAGCAATAGCAAAAGCTCAAAATCCTTCTCAATAGTGTATATGTAATCAATCTTTATGAAGTTTGAAATTCATCACATTCATATTTCTCCTGTATATATCTGTTCATTATAACTCCTACTGGTTTTATTAGTTTTCGGCATCGAATTCAACCATTTAGACTCACCTAGAAACGGCTTCATTTGGTGTATAAGATCCTCTGTGGTTTCCTTAACTTTATTCATAACAGTGTGTATTGATTTCTTAGTTTCCTCCTATGGTCCTGTTTTTATGTATTCAGGTATTCACCGTCTCCAAGTAGTCTGACTTATCTAATATTACTGCTGGGCTCCCTTTCTCTGATTTAGTGATTATTCAGTTCAAGTCAAATAGCTATCTTTCTGTTGACGACACTACCACTAATGTCTGTTCTTCAGTATGTGATCCGTAAATACTTCCAATATTCTTTTCTAGTTGTCTGATAAAACATTATTTGTTTCTTTCGGTTTCGTAATCAGTAGATACATAATCAGAGACATCAGCAAGTAGCACCATCTCTTCGTAGTTTAACGTCCTTGCAACCGGATAATACAAACAACTCTCTCAGTTAGTTTAAGTTCAGTTACAAAAACTTTTCATATACTAGGCCATAAGCTACATTCATTGTATGATGATACCTTACAGTCGAACTGGCTGAAATAAACGAAGTCGGACTTAAACTAGATACTCTCTGGCTGTATATCAAGTGTTTCAGCCAATGAACCATATTTTCATAATACAATTCATCATGTAGTGGAGATGGTACTAAATGTGTACAGTCACACTTGTGTCTCATGCGCATTCATTGTAGATGCCAGAAATTTTGTTACTCAGGCTCGCTGTCTGTCTCCGTATTAGGAACTAGCGAATCTCCAACACATAATCAACGACCTTTTGTGTAGATTTAAAATACGTCTTGCTCTCATTTTTGTTCAAATTCATTGTTGAATAACAATGCACCTTTACATGTAGATATATGTCATGTATTTTATCTGTTTATATAAAACTGAGAAGAAAAGTAAGAAGCAGTTTACCTATCAGTGAACTACAGTAGTTTGCTTTTTAACATTTTCATAATATCATTCCTTACCACTACAGTTTTATGTTAGTTTCTATCTCTCTTTTAATAAACCTAGCCTCAATTTGACTATATATTTTTCAGGGTTCTGCGAAACATTGTGTCCAAAGTTTCACATGTTCAGTTTGTGGTCAGCTGGGTTTCACAGAGTCGTCTTTATCGAATCATGTTTTTTCTAATCATCCAAATGCTGGTGATTCAGAAGTACTTTGTCCCTTCTGTGCAATACACACTGAAGGTGATCCTAATCTTACAACACATGATATTGCAAGTCATTTCAAAAGTGTGCATAATCTATCGCCTTCAGTTAATGAGAAGAGTAAGCTTCTTGTTTTTGTTCATCATATTGCCGTGCTTCTTCCATCCTGTTTGTTTATAATCAACATCGCCTTTCCAATGTTTGTTGTTTATAGTTTACAGTTCTTCTTCTTAAGCTGCCTTATTAATTTAACGTCATGGGATCTTCCAGGTACACCGACGTTGGAGTTACAAGCAACTTGGATACAAGCACCTCAGTCAACGAGCCTGAAACAACAGGTTGTTTTTAGATGATAGGTCTCTGTGTCCCTCAAAATTTATTTCCTTTCTAAAAGCAATAAGGTAAAAGTAAAGTAGTTTTAAGGTATTTGGGCCAAGGAATTACAATAATTTCTGAATAAGTTACTGGTTTATGGCTAAAATCATGTTTAAAAGCCACTTCACTTGACCGGTAATAACATGTTATTGGATTAGTCACGACCTGAAATAGACCAAACGCATCTGTACTTCGTTTTTTAGTCGTATCCATTGATTTCCTACATTGCTTTACCTTCACATTCCTTCCTGGAAATCCTTTGTGTAAGAGAGTTATAGGAAGGTTTTTGAGCTCCTTGTCAATCATCTCCATAGAGCAGATTTTCAGAGCTCTAGAACATAAAAAAATTAATAAGGTTATCCTTTCCACCTTGTGTTACCCAATTGTTGAAGTTACTGTATTGTTCTGTAGTTGATTGGATTTTGATAGTTCAATCTTAACAATGAGTCATCCATCGTCTCCGGATTTGGATAACGTCTAAGAAGTGAAACGTGTGGATAGGTGACCACATTTGAATTGTTTGAGTAGTTGAACAGTTTTCCTCACAAACAAACGTACCATTCATATATTCTTTCATGCAAATAGAGATTTAGATATAATCTCTTTCACAGTCAACTATTCGTAAAGACATCACCTAGGTGAGGCACTAAAAGAGACACAACCGCAATTTTATCCTTTTGGTTACAAATCATACTAGTAAGTCTATATTGCACCATTAATATGCATCTCAATATTAACTCCTTCAGATAATCTGCCGGTATTCCAAAGTCCATTTTAATAAAGTCACAGTGATCACATAGAAAACAGACAACTTCTACTAATAGCACATTTGTAAATAAGAAATATCTAGCAAAACAAACGCTTACCGGTCATATTAATTCAATCAATGCAACTGACAAAGTCAAAAGTTTTTGAAAACCTGTTTCTACGAAGATGTGACCTCAGAAATTCGACAAACCATTTCTTTACCATAATCATAGTTATATATTCTTTCTGGTTAACTTCATCCCGCTTCTCTTTCATTATTATCGCTATCAGTCATTGTAACTTTGATTTTTGGCATCATTAGACTAACTGTAAACCTCTAAACAGTAATTTACTTCTTTATTAATCTTTGTAATTCATCCAACTCAACTGTACTTCCTTTAAATATCATGTTTTATTTTAACACCCGTTGTCACTTTGGATAGTGTTATTAGAAGACGGAGATTATCTGAAAAGTGTTACAGACTGTTACTGGATAATGTTTCTAGCACAGTTCATCGCTTATAAGCATGTCATTCATATTTCTGTAGTAGTCTGGGCAACATATTTTGCAACTGTCTCACGTGTCGGCCAGTTTTGTTTTATCAGGTGACAGTAAGCATCATTGTTAAGCCCCCATACCTCTAACATAGTCAATTTAAAGAAATATGACCACTGTAAAAATTAAGACCGTGATTTTGTCTTACATAGAGGTAGGTGATCTCATATCTCAACTATGAGGCTTTTTACTGATTTAGGCATATCCTAACTCGCGATGTTAATAAAGTGTGTACTAATACAGAAGGTTATCCCAGCTGTCATGTTTCTTTCTAAATAACATAAATGCACTAGTTTATGCATGTTAATAAATGTGACTGAGTATGCTGTTGATAAAAACAACTACAACTATTTGCTTGATTTATGTTTATTATTTTTTATCTCTACAGATATAACCAATAGCTCATCAGCTGCGGGTTCGCTTATTCCGCGTTTAACTTCTGTTGATAACAAGTGCTGTGATACTGCAAGTCTACGAACTCGACAAACTAGTCAACCACGTGCCCAGGATTTTGGGTTTGACAAGGTTGGAAATTTCAACTGTGCTAATACCAGTAGTAGCACTGCTACATTCCACAATCGCTTAATTACTGACGAATCATGTCATAATCAAAATAGTGCAAATTCAAGTGGTATAACGTCACAGCCTGTATTGTATAATCCACGTTTCTCTCTTGGCAGTATAGTAACGATGAAAAACTTTTTAAAGTCTTTAGAACATGATAACAAAAACAAATATAATAATAAAAATAAACTCTGTGATGAGCGAAATGGTTGTAATAATAAACCCAGCAATAGTAACCGAAATGATGAAGTTCAGAACTCGACTGTTTTGCATCTTGGTCCTGTTGCTAAGGGAACAGATTCACAAAATGCAGATGACAAATCACCAAATGGAGAAACTTTAGAATTTAGAAGTAATAACAATCAAGATTCTGTAAGTACATATTTTGTTCGTTCTTTAATTTTGTAGAATTACCATATTATCTGACAGGACTTCTCGCATCCATTTTACTATATCAGTGTAATTATTAGAAGATAAAAGCAGACAGGCAATGCCAATAGAAGATACAGCATTACTGATTAATAATCCCAATTGACACATCTCAAATGCGAGGGGAAGACAAAGATGGCAGTAATTTAAGGGAAAGGTCCTGAAGTAATACAAGAAAACGAAAGATAGAGAAAGTAAAGAAAGGTTATTATAATCCATAAATGCATCTGACCCCATGTTATCTAGAGTCTGTAACCGGAGTTTTACACGTTCCGCCAGACCTGGACCAAGCCACATAGATTCTTAAGCTAAGGTTGCAGAAGAGGTGCAAAAAGTAGCACTGTAGGAAGCGACTAAATATGAAATTTTAAGTCACTAGTTGGCAACTTTGAAGATTTTATGTTTCAAAGTTAAATTTTTGTTGTTGTGTGAAAAGGATAGTTTTATTGGACAATTTTCTACTTCTTATAATTGATCACAATGAATTGTCACACCATTAACTTGTTATTTTCGTGAGAATGCATGTATATGATGTACTTTTGTTGAATAAAACCTGTCTTTTCTCGGCTCAGTAAAGCAGAAGGCTGTTAGAGCGATTAAGTCCTATTCGGTGTTCCCTGTATATATTTTGTGTGCCTTGGTACATACAGTGTTGTTTTGCTCGTGTCGTACTCCACTCAGGCACATTGAACACTTTTTCAATACCTTTATTGTTATACTGGAAATTTTAAAATATCTTAATAGTTCAGCTGTGTGAATGTAAACGACTTGTCATGTTTTTGTATTTTGCATTATTATAACTTTTGAATTCATATTAAACCAGAAGTTTTGCCGTGTAATTAAATCACATATACTTTTCAGGCAAATGGAAATCAAGACAGTAAACAGATAGACTGTACAACAACCACTTCTGTTAGCCGGGAATCAAAATTTATTGAAAATTCAGTTCTTCTTTCCCCTTGTGAAAACGAAAACCTTACAAATCAACAGAACATTTCACGTGCTGACAGCAACGGATATCTTGAGTCATTAACCTCAGAAGTATTAGATCGTAAATTGAATTCCTTGTATCCTAGTCCTTCAAAATACTCGAAATCATTATCATATGATTCACATATAAAATCAGTTAATGATGACAAGTTAAAAGATGTTAGCAAAAAGTTAGTTTTTAATTGGTAAGTTTTCGTTTTTCCTAATATAATCATTCAACATAAATTGAAATAACTTTTTATGGGTGATTGGTGAGAAATACTATCTTGTTCCACTCTAAATCCCTATTCTTTTATTATGGGCAGCTAATAATAATGATTTGTGGCGATGGTTCTGCGGTGTAACGCTCACCAACAACGCACGCGGTCCGGTCCCCGGCCGGTGCATTCATAAACCCCGTTAAGCGGGTAAAGAGAGAAGGTTGGGTGTGAGGATCGCAACCCTACCCGGTAAAAATACGACTACTGCTACTGAAACTTCAAACTCTAGCTTGGAGATCTACGTCCTACTCGGAACGAAAAGGAATAAAATTAATAATAATAAAAATACTAAAACTGGTAGTCTACGAATTAAAAATACCGTATTTGATGAGAAGTCCTATTTCAACTTTGCAAAACGTTAACATTGTATAGTGATAGGAAATTATTTCTTGGTAAATCTAGCTGTACAGTGAGTGTTTATGTTTCGAATTATCTTGGTAACTATATGTAACTCTGATCAGCGCCTCTTCTTTTATCCTATCATTAAAGCCGCGAATTCAATAAGGACTACTAGTTTTGTCTCTTTATACTCAGTAGGCGACATTTATCGCCACTACCATTTAAGTCACATCCGACTCAGACGAAAGTCAAGTGCATTCAAAGAATGTACGAAATCTAATAATTATGGAAACTGTAGTGAGACACAGCAAATACGATGAAATGATAGTTCAGTTGGGGTAATTCAATGTGTGTCCTCATTTATGTTGTACAGTGGTGTAACCGTTTCTTAAATTTCTATCTCATATCCTTCATCTAGTAGATGTGATTCATGTATACAGTACACTAATCCATATACAATCAAACTACTATTGAATAAAAGAAAAGTGCGTCGGTGGCACAGTGGTTAGGACTCTCGCCGACCATGCACATGGTCCGGGGTTCGATCCCCTGCCGGCGCACATCCGATATCTATGGTCGGCCTGAATTTGGGCTACCGATATCCATGCTGAAAATTCCATACTTGTACTGAAAATACGGTGTGGAATCAAGCTGTAAATCAAAATAAAATAAAATAAATAAATAAAATAAATCAACAATCGTGCTCACTTAAGTGCTGACATGATGCATAGTAACACTTTATGAACTTGGAGAATAGAATGGAGTTCAAACCACCGACTAGGTAGTTTACTGGCTTACTACTCACCCAGATTAACGATAGCTGAATGAATAATCTGATACTCACTAGCGACTGGCCCTATTCAGGCAGTTAACCTGGGGTTCTAGTGGGAAGCCGTGACCGTTAGGGTGCAGCAGGTTGAAGGTGAGGCAGTAGCTCATCGAAGAAGACATTGCAAAGTGGTCGCGCTATGTCATGAATTGGCAGAAGTTGGAATTCATGCACTGGCCATTGGATTGGGTCCCAGTGATTTAATGGTCTATGACCTCGCCTTGTAACCAGAAGGTCCTGGGTTCGAACTCCAATGGGTGCGTACCTCCGAAAAGTCCCAAACTAGAACGAAACAGCTGTCCAGTACTCCCAGGTTTCCCAGTGGTTCTCTAACTGATGTCGGCTCATGATGAAATCCTCCAACGAATATGCTTGTTGTAGATAAAATCAGTAATATTCATATAACAACAGCCTTCACATTTTTTTATTACTTATTTCTAAAAATTCAGTTTCATTTTCTTCTCACTGTCATACTTTCTATTTCTGAATTTATGACAAATCACTTCATAGTTAGTACTAATTTAAACGCATTTTCAGACACAAATGAATGATAAGACAAATGTACGAATTTGAGCTCACTGCATAGTAGAAAATTAACTCATACAGATGATATTGATAATAACATTTGGTAGCGAACGATGAATTTCTCTTATTTTCCCCACTCATATACACTAGACCAGCAGTTAGTAACATTATGGATGAAGACTCACCATACTTCAATTTGGTGATCTTGACGTTTCTTCCGTTTTACGTTAATTCAACTGATAGCATGCTTTTAGACAGTGAACATAAGCATGCATAATAGCTGGAAATTCACAAGCTTTTCAAGTTGCAAATCATATCCAATTCGTAATGTAATCCTGTTACCAAGATCAAGTTGTTTGATAAATCCATTACACAGAGGTGTATTAGCAAGCAAAATGTACCACTTGGAAATGCTGAGTATGTATTTGGCTGTATTCAGTTAACTTGTAACGAATACAATCAAATTTTGGGGTAATGTAGCTGAATCATAAGTATAAAAAAGTTATATAAGTTCCAATGTATAAAAAGTCTTCCACTCGTCTATGTAGGGGTTGAGTAGTAGTAAGAAATCTGTCCTGCGTTTCGTAACTTTCAATGGCTTTTTCAGTTACGATTTGTCCTATTAAATTTATTAAATGTGTTGTTTAATCACCAACTTGCATCTGTTTTCTTTTCTCTTTTTTTTATCCATGTAGTCATACAAATGAACACCAATCAGAATCAACACCAGCTACTGTTCAAGATGATTGGGATATTGACTGGCATATGTTTTTAAATGAATTGGTTTGGAGTAGTCTGTGTAATGCCGACGCTTTTTCGAGTATCACATAAAACGTATATAAAATTAGCTTGTATACAGACATTCATAAGTTACTTACTTTCAAAATAGTCGTCTGTTTGACCTATTTATATACCTTAGTTTGTTTAGCTTATTGCCTTGTACGTGTTACTGCTTCTGTATGTATGTTTAAGTGTATCAGATTATAGTGTCCAGTTATATCTGAATGTATGCATTGATCGAAGACAATTTGAGCTCTAACCACCCTTCAAACATGCTATTTCCCCTTTTGAGTGTACTACACGAAACGGACTAAAAGTAGCAATAAATTACACTGCTTTAATGTGTATATAAATATGTGTGATATATTTTTGTTATTACAGCAATTCCATACCTTCGTCTGTCGGACAATCTATCTTTATAATATGTTATACAAGCAAGATTTGTTATTTAAACTAGTATTCTTAAAATGTTTGCGAATGGCTGTAATGGTTACTTATTTTGTGTCTGTCTGTGTGAGGAACTGATTCCGCCTTTTTTTCAGTGTTCATCATCATGTGATCGCCTGTTATTGACTTTCAATACTCTATCTCTCTCTGTCTAATTTCTCTATGATTAATGGGATAAGTCGAAAATAAAAATGGGTGGAAAAATACTACTACCATCTGACTTAAATGTATAAAATAACCCCTATGTGTTGTGCTTGATATGTACACCCACATACCTTAAAATTATTCTTGAATAAAATATCAAATATTTGAAGTGGAATCTTATTTATGTATTTAACTAGTTGAAGGATACACGAAATGATGTGCCGTTAAATTTATGTTGGAGTGGTTGGAAATTTGTCCTGATACCTAGAGGAATTAGTAAATAGTATTCTACTTGTAAATGTATATGTTACACATACATCTTCGAAATGAGGTAACAGCAAATCATGAACAAGTTTTAGTTTCAAAACTGTCAAAAGAAACAGGTTCTATATTTCGGCATTCTAATTTTATTATATTTTATTATTGTGAACCATGTTAGTTGTAAAGCGGTTGTAAAGAAACTACGAAATGATATCATCTCGCGAAATTTGTCTTCTAAATGCCTTATTCAAATTTATCAAAGGGACTAATTACTTTAGTTCTAATTTACTATTATTATTATTATTATTATGATTGGTGTAGTAGTGCTACTGTAACGACAGAATACAAGGGCCAGGCAACAGATCATTTATTGAGAAAATCAAGAGATATTTATAGATTTTTATGTACATTATTATTCGTTATTGTTAGCAGAGAAGTAACGTCTTCTGATTGGTTGTTTTTCTGCTGAAGGTTATTCTGTCATCTCTTAGACAGTCCGGTGATATATCTGCGAATCGTATCCGCCCACGTTAAGTCTGCTGTGACTGGTTGTTGAGTTCATCAAGGTTAGGCTTTATTCTCGTTTTTTCTCATGACCCCGATTCTATGTTGAATCCAGCAGCAGCAGCAGATTCGGGACGTAAACATTGACGCCAATCGTTGTCTACAATTTTGTCTTGCAGACAGCTCTCACCACACTACTACTACTACTACTACCAATAAATGGTATTGCGCTGAAATTATCAGTTACTCATAAGCACTACGTATATGTTACGCGGAATCTTCGGATGCCACACATGTAACTTCTTGAAGTGTGGGATTCACCCATAAACTAAATACTGTAATACACATGTAAGTAGTATGTCCACCTTTAAGAAGTCACAGCTGCTTAGTGGATATTTTCCATGCTGTATGTATATTTATGCAAAGCACTTGAGAGTTCCTGATTCATAAAGCGATACGTTATATGCTTACTATATATTCTTGTGAGATCATACAGAATGGGAGCTTTGTTAAAATAAACTATTTGTGCCCATATAATAGTCGAATACTTACTTACTTTACTTTACTTCGGCTATCTCCTACGGGAGGATGAGCCGGCTTCATGAACATCTCGAATCATCGCTGCCCAGGCGCGGCGATCTGATGCAAGGTTTTGCGACAGGGTTATACAGTCGTTTGTAAGAGAGTTCATGAAGTTTCATGGGAATCGCTCGGCCTTTTGTTTGAGAGTGCAGCTCTAGCCTTTACACAACCAAGTCTGACCTACAAGGCAGTAGGAGTGGAGTAGGGAGTCCACTATCCATTGGCAGTCGGTGACCGGAGTTCGGTTCATACGCCTTTTTGAATGGGGCCAGACATCCAGGACATCCAACAAGCCCTTTGTCCGTACGTCTGCCAGTGAGCTTCATACGCCAGTCGTTGGAGGTTTGGAATCAGGGTTTAGCCATCTCCCCTAGACTGTCATCCAATGGACAGTCAACCCGGTGAAGAGCGCCGGGCATCCGCTTTCGCCCTCTCACTTTGGTGAAAAACACCTCCACCACGTGAAGGCAGTGAGTAGGAACTCCTCAGGAGAGGCTATGTAAGACGCCCGGTCACATGGGAGCATTTCAAGAGGTGTGCGGAGGGGTGGCCAACTCGCACCGCAAGGCACCCACCCCCGACCATCCTGAGGCCTTTTTTAGTCGAATACTAGTTGGTACGATCAGTTTTCGTCAATTCATGAGTTTTTTATGAGAGATTTTGTTAATTTCAAGCGTGGAGACTAGACCACGCAAGAACACGTGCCCACATCCAAGAGAAACCAGGATCCATTTTATTAAGGGTAATTTTAGGCGATACTTCAAATAATACATCGAAAGTCATAGTAATGAAATACTTTCATAAATACATAAAGTAATGAAAACAACTCTATACTGTATCACATGCATAGATACAAGACAGGATTAGCAAATAGTAAGTATCATTCTCTCATCCAGTGCATGATACTTTTTGTGAAGATGTCGTTTAACGGCTTGAGCAAATCAACTTTAAGTTAACGGGTTGCGGATTCGAAACCTGTTTAACCCTAGATAACTGGCTCTTACACATTAAGTGTGGCTCGTAGCGTGGTACACTGAAAAACAAATAATCAGATCAGGTCGAGTAAACTAGTTAATAACCCACGAAAGTTAGTGCACAAATCAAAAAGATAACCAACTAAAATGAAGGTCAAGTATTGCAAGAGAGAAGTAAGGATGGTTCACATACTAATACTGGATAGGTAACGCGATTCACATATGTAACAACCTGTGGCTAGAATTCGATATGACAAAACTTAGGCAAAGAATATCCAGAATATTATATATAACTCTCGCAGCAGGACTATCCTTTTTATCCAAACAGATGTGCCTATTTCTCCTGGTTGTTAAGATCAGTAGTGATACATCACGGTTGAGCTATTTAATTGACCAAACTAATTGTACGGATTTTAAAGGATTTGAACTTTGTTGTCGACCTAACTGGATAATCCGTTTAGTCCACAAGCCACGTGTATGCCAGACGAGTGAAATAGTTAGCACTCGTCAACATATACTTTAACACAAGTGTTAGTGATCAGTTTTACGGGCAAAGATGACCTTAGCCTGAAAAAACCTTATGTTCGGGAACTGAACTACTAAAAGTTAAATTGGTCAGGGGATTTAGTGAACACTTCAGTCTTAAACCACTTTCAAAACACTGGAAAATAATCATTTGATATTATGGAAAATTTAACACTGCAAACCAGAATTAGTGTATTAAAAACCGATTCCTGTGGATGATATATCCAGGGTTACAATGCAGTGTGGCTAAGCCTTATGATTATGGAAGTAGATGACTTTGTCACCGTTACTTCGGCAGTATTACAATGGCACTATATATTACTAGGTAAAGCTGCAAATCAGTTGGCGGTAAGTACTCACTGATAAGTAAAGCACGTTTGAGCAGAGTAAAGTGAACGTTATTTTTTTCAGTAGGTCAGTCAGAAGACTTAAAGTAAACGGATCAACACACGACATTTATTTTTTTTTTTTTTTTTTTTTTTTTTTTGATTTACAGCTTGATTTCCACACCGTATTTTCAGTACAAGTGTGGAACTTTCAGCATGGATATCGGTTGCCCAAATTCAGGCATACCATAGATATCGGGTGTGCGCCGGCAGGGGTTCGAACCCCGGACCATGTGCATGGTCGGCGAGAGTCCTAACCACTGTGCCACCGACGCACATCAAAGCTGATTGAGGAATTATCGAGTTTCTAATAAAGCCCACTGAACAACAGACTCGTTGGAACTAAGAGTTACCGATGAACATGCATGCCCGCCCATATTTCGAACATATTATTTATATACGTTCTGTCTTCTTTCGTATGCTTATTTCCGCTGGTATTTTCTTACTGTCACATACAGCAAGTGCCTAAATGACTTACAACATTCTAAGATATTGGTGTCGGTCTACTCACTATATGCATCATTTCGACAAATTATTGTCAACTACTGCTCTCTTTTTGATAACTGAAGTTATTTCATTACCTTGATTGATATGAATGTTATATTTTTATGAAATAAGCTAGCCGTCTATTAATTTAGACGTAAAAATACTGTGTGATACAATAAAAGTACGGATTTATTATCCGAAGCAAATATGGCTTAATCACTCTGTTTTCAGCCAGGTCTTAGGTTCAAATCCCACCCCAACTTCTTCACCCTGGGTAGTATCACCTACCTTCATAAAATAATTGTGTGGAACGCTAAAGATATGTTTCAGGTAACGAAGTTTAAACAAACAGCTGCATTGAAATCTCCGAGGCAGTAAAATTCACAGATAATGCGTTTAAACATACAAACAAAAACTGTTCTGACTTTATTCGCTACAAAATTACGGTTTATACATGATTCTCTAACACGCTTATCATATAAGCGTCTTTTATGCGCTGGTGATGATTACATCCACTAAAATTTTTTACGAAAGGACATAAGTTCTTAACCCCATGAATAATATCAACAGAGACAAATATCAAAAAAAAATGTTTTATCTAAGTAAAATACAAGGAAACTAGACATTTCCTAAATTCATTACAATTACAAACAATCTATTTTTCAGATCTGAAGAAACCTTTCTCAAAAGCTTCAGGTTCAATTTTATATACAGAGTACATAAGCATTGAAATTGTGAATACTTGGCCCAATGGACGTAGTATCAATAAACGCTGGAGTTCTTTGCCTTTGGCGTAATAACAGCGAGCAAGCACACCCCCAGTGAAAACAAAGCCTGAAACGAAAATTTTGCAAAAATTTCTGCGTATTTCTTACCCACAATAATCAGTGGATTTGCCTTAACCATCTGCTTAAGACGGTTTAATCCTGTAGGCCTGTCGGGATTTTTATCGCGTAAAGGATTATTCATATTAAAAATTCAGACGTAACTTAGACTATTAGAAACAACTCTCCTGGCATAAAGGACCTATAACACAAAAAATACTAACGATTAGTAAATCTCTTTCAGATTCTTTTTGGAGGTAAATGAGTGTGAAATGATTACAAAATAAAGGCAAAATAAACACAATACTAACTGCTATTAGTTATTAATGTCAAGTTAACTAACATGATTTAAAACAACAGCAACTCAGTTTAAGTTGACTAAATTCAAAACAATGTATTAGTAAATTTGACAACAAGAATAGGAACGAATAAACTTTGCAAATGCTTAAAAATACACTTATAATGAGAATTCAACAGAGTTTCGGAAGAAGGTAAGACATGAATACAATTTGTCGAGAAATATATTGATTTGCAATAGTAATGATTTGCTTCACTCCACAACAGTACTTATAGTAGTGAGGAATTCTCAAAATTCGGTACAACATTCTATCTAATTTGCTCGACAAAAGTAGGAACAAAAATTACATTACAGGCTAAAG